TCCACTCAACTTGTCTGTCTTCCATCCACCCATCTACCAATCCATCCATTCAACTTGTCTATCTGTTGTCTGTCTGTCTGTCTCTATATCTATCTATCTATCTATCTATCTATCTATCTATCTATCTATCTATCTATCTATCATCTATCTATCATCTATCATCCACTCAACTTGTCTGTCTTCCATCCACCCATCTACCAATCCATCCATTCAACTTGTCTATCTGTTGTCTGTCTGTCTGTCTCTATATCTATCTACCTATCTATCTATCATCCACTCAACTTGTCTGTCTTCCATCCACCCATCTACCAATCCATCCATTCAACTTGTCTATCTGTTGTCTGTCTGTCTGTCTCTATAGCTATCTATCTATCTATCATCTACTCAACTTGTCTGTTTATGTGTCTAGCTGGCTAGATGGCTGGCAATCCGCCACGTCTCTCTTTCTCCAGTTCAGTTCAAAGCCACTCGCCTTCTCGAAAACTAGATTGCCGTCTGTGCAAAACAGACGGGCCGTCCTTCGATGGCGCCTCTCGGCTCCGACTCTAGTGCCCTTCCCCATCCTCCCCCCCCCGGCTGCACAATTCTTGCAAACCCACCCCTCGGATGGAGAATGGAGGGTGAGACCTGCCCCCCCCATCCCAAGCGAGAAACCCAAACAAACAGGAATAACAAGAGCCAGCCCCACAGAATGCCTTCGGGCCCCCATCGAGGGCACAAGCCCAGGGGTCAAACGGCGAGCAGGGAAGGCTTTGCTTCTATTTTTACCACCCCACTTCATCCTCCCCCACTCGGGAGCCATTGTTCCTCCCTTGGAGAACTCAGCAAGATTTCTTCTGCCTCCTTCGGCTGGGAGATCTGCTTATAGAAATCGGCTTCCAGTAATTCTTTCCCATTTGGAGACAGCCTTCTCGGCCCAGCGGCCACTTGTCTGAATGCCACAGCCGTGACATCAGAGGAGCCTCCTGTCGCAACCTGACTTGGGGGGGGGGACCAGCCTGGGCAGCTGATGGAAGACTGCGAGGGGGTGAACTGGGCTGGGTGCCCCAATAACCACCTCTTCAGACCAGGTCTCTGGGATCCTTGGTGCTCTCTGAGCTTACAGGCTTGACTAGGTAACATTCCAGCACTGATTGGGTTCCCTAGCTGGGTCACGACACATCTTCAAGGAAACCACCGAGCTCAGAGAGCACCAAGGACCCCACAGTCCCTCTTCCTCCACTCGGTAGCATTGATGATGTGCCCTAATTGGGTCATGAAAGAAAACAGGCAAGGTCAGAGAGCACCAAGGACCCCCAAATTATAGTCTTACTACTACTACTTCTCTCCACATACCCCATGCCCTTCTAGCACTGATGATATCCCCTAGTTGGGTAATGAAATGTCTGCAAGAAAACAGCTAAAGTTTTCTTAGGAAGACCTCCCCCCCAAATTTTCCTCCTCCTCCTCCTCCTCCTCCTCCTCCTCCTCCTCCTCCTCCTCCTCCTCCTCCTCCTCTTGTCCCCCAGCCTCTGGCTTTTCCTCCTCCTTCTCTCCCCTCCTCCTTTTCCTCCTCCCTTCTAGCACTGATGTTGTTACCTAGTTGGGTCATGAAAGATCTGCGAGAAAACAACCAAGCTCAGAGAGCACCAAGGATCCCACAATCTCTTCTCCTCCTCCTCCTCCTCCTCCTCCTCCTCCTCCTCCTCCTCCTCCTCCTCCTCCTCCTCCTCCTCCTCCTCCTCCTCCTCCTCCTCCTCCTCCTCCTCACAGAAATCCCCACTCCCTTCTAACACTGATGATGTTACCTAGTTGGGTCATAAAAGATCTGCGAGAAAACAAACAAGCTCAGAGAGCACCAGGGACCCCACAATTTTCCTCCTCCTTCTCCTCCTCCTCCTCCTCCTCCTCCTCCTCCTCCCTCCTCCTCCTCTTCCTCCTCCTCCTCCCAGTTCCTCCTCTTCCTCCTCACACGAATCCCCACTCCCTTCTAACACTGATGATGTTACCTAGTTGGGTCATGAAACATTTGCAAGAAAACAATCAAGCTCAGAGAGCACCAGGGATCCCACCATCCTCCTCCTCCTCCTCCTCTCTACAAACCCTCCTCCCTTCTAGCACTGACGATATCCCCTAGTTGGGTAATGAAAGGTCTGCAAGAAAACAGCTAAGGTCAGAGAGCACCAGGGATCCCCAAAATTCTCCTCCTCCTCCTCCTCTCACCCCAATTTAAAAGGCCTGTGAATTGGGGGTGAAGTAAGATCATAAGCACCGCTGCAGTTTCATTTAGCAAATGCTTTATTCAGCGACCGATTGCAATCGCTAAGCGAGGACTCTTGTCATTTCAAAAGGCAGGCTCAAATGAAAGCAATCTTGAAAGTGGGAATGGCAGATAAACCAATTGGGGAGGGGATGTGGATTTGAAAGAAGACCCCCGCTTGGGGGGAGGGCTCGCCAGATCAGCTACTCACCTGGGATCTGCTGTATTTCAGATTCAGAACATGGACCTCCAGCTCGGGATCGATCGGACCGCGGGCCTCGCAACCGTTGGCCACCACACTGGTTGTGTAGAAGACGTTGACCGCCTGGTCTCTGCTGATGGGCTCCGGAACACATCCCAAGGAATTCAACACACCTAGGAAGGTAAGAATCTCACAATGAATTCTGCTCAATTGTTACCTTATTGAGCGCTCAGGGAGCCATCGGTCAATACATTGGATTCATCCGTTGCTTCCCGGCCCTTGAATCGTTTCCTTTGGCTTTTTAAAACGAAGATACTGAATTCATTCTCATTTTAGTTCCATGAAATTGGACTTAAGGTTTGGGGAAGAAGGAGGTGAGCTGGGAAGCAATCTCTCTCTTTCTTTCTTCTTTCTTTCTTTCTTTCTTTTTCTTTCTTTCTTTCTTTCTTTCTCTCTTTCTTTCTCTTTCTTTCTCTCCCACTCTCTCTTCTTCATTTTCTCCCGCTGTCCCTCACTTTTCCTCCCTCCCTCCCTCCCTTTCTTTCTGCATTTCTGCATTTTTCTGCATTTCTTTCTTTCTTCCTCTCTCTCTTTCTTTCTCTCCCTCTCTCTTCTTCATTTTCTCCCTCTGTCCCTCACTTTTCCTCCCTCCCTCTTTCTTTCTTTCTTTCTTTCTTCCTCCCTCCCTCCCTCCCTCCCTTCCTTTCTTTCTTTCTGTATTTCTGTATCTCTCTTTCTCTCTCTCTCTCTCTCTTTCTCTTTCTTTCTCTCCCTCTCTCTCTTCTTCATTTTCTTCCTCTGCCCCTCACTATTCCTCACATGACAATGACAGCAATACGAGCCAGTTATATCGAAAAATTTTTTATTGATTGTAGGAAAGATGAGCTGAGTTAGAGAGGAGCTATCTTATTTGGGTTATCTAGTCTTGGCAACTTAGCTATTGAAATCTGATATTGTAAAATTTTAATGTCATATATCATATATTTTTAGATTGTTATTTTTGTAACTGTTTTGTCTTTTTTCCTTTTTCTTTTCTGTTTTGTTTGAAAAGGCCTTCGGGCTATTCAATAAACAAAAATACCAGAAAAATACCACTATTCCTCCCTCCCTCCCTCCCTCTCTTTCTTTCTTTCTCTCTCTCTCTCTCTTCCTTCCTTCCTTCCTCCCTTCCTTCCTTTCTGTATTTCTCCCTTTCTTTCTTATTTTCTTATTTCTTTTTCTCTTCTTTGTTTCTTTTCAGTTTCTTACTTTCTTACTAACTTATGTGCTCATTCATTCATTCATTCAACTTGTTTGCTGCCTATCTCACTGCAAGCTGACTCGGCTTACAACATCAAAATAAAACCACACATATCAGTAACCAATGAATAAAACTGCAACAAAAAGGCAGATTGGAACTAAAACCAGAGAATAGGGAGGAAAGGAGCGGGGTGGGTGGGTGTGAGGCAGGAGCTGCCCTTGGTCGAGCCACCCCTTAAATCCGATTTCGTGAAATTGAGGGCGTCCTGAGTTGAACTGAGCTAGAGAAAGAACTGAACCAAGCTTGCCGGGCTAAAATTTGCACCGCCAGGAGATGCTTGAACCCGGTCCACTAAACGGAGATTGAGGAATCCATGTTCAAGCAGGACGCCCAAGCTCCCTTCCCCGCCTCGCCCGACGCGGAGTCGTCCACTCGACCATTGTCCTGAATTTCCTCCGAGGACCAACCTAGGCCAGTCCCAGCCTAGCAGCATCAGAGGAAGACAAACAAGAGACTTATCTGGCCTCCGCAGCCTGCGTCACCCTTCCCCTCTCGGAGCCCGTCTAGAAAAATAACCCGACGGGACAAGACACCGCAAAAAAAGAAAGGCCCAGCCTCATGGCTACACAGGATTCTGCAGACAAGTATCTGTTTACGTTATTCCCCAGGCGCCAAAGAACTCTGTGTGAGCTGAGCTCAGAGAAAAGGGCCGTGAGATTAGATCAGCCTGGCGACGAAGGGCAAAGTCGACGGAGACGGGATTCTGCCATGGGTGGCACCGTCTGACCCCGCCAGGGGGAGGTTAAACAAGGGGGCGCAAGGAAGGAGGAGAGGTTCCAACGTGTGGGAGACTCACCAGGCTGGACCAGGGCGTGGTTTGTGGTGGCCAGAGAAACTTGAAGTTGGAGACGCAGCCCACCTTCTGTGCAACACCTTCCATCCTCCGCCTTTTTTCAGCGGAGGCTACAAAGTGGTCCACGGGGCTGGCTGTGGGTCACACGGGGCTGGTGTTGTGTGCACTGCTCAGATCTTGGCGTGGAATGATTAATCGTGACCGACAGAATGACAAAGGGATAATCGGGGATAATTAGGGAAGGAAAAGCTGCTGATGCCTTTAAATTGTAAGAAAACAAAAAGGATGGTGTTGGGAAAGGAAGTTTTTCCCCCTTCTTGGTTAGGGAATTTTCTAAGTCAGATCCTTTCAGTCATCCATCAACATCTCCTTTTTCTCTCTCTTTCATCTATTCATCTATCCATCCATCCAAATTGTATCTCTATTATCCATCCATCCATCCATCCAAATTATATCACTATTATCCATCCATTATATCTCTATTATATCTCTATCCATCCATCCATCCCAATTATATCAAACTTATCCATCCATCCATCAAAGTTATATCTCTGTTATCCGTCCATCCATCCATCCATCCCAATTATATCTCTATTATCCCTCCATCCATCCAAATTATATCTCTATTATCCATCCATCCATCCATCCATCCCAATTATATCAATCTTATCCATCCATCCATCAAAGTTATATCTCTATTATCAGTCCATCCATCCATCCATCCATCCCAGTTATATCTCTATTATCCATCCATCCATCCATCCAAATTATATCTCTATTATCCATCCAAATTATATCTCTATTATCCATCCAAATTATATCTCTATTATCTATCCATCCATCCATCCATCCATCCCAATTATATCAATCTTATCCATCCATCCATCAAAGTTATATCTCTATTATCAATCCATCCATCCATCCATCCATCCATCCATCCCAATTATATCTCTATTATCCATCCATCCATCCAAATTATATCTCTATTATCTATCTATCCATCCATCCATCCATCCATCCCTCCCAATTATATCAATCTTATCCATCCATCCATCCCAATTATATCAATCTTATCCATCCATCCATCAAAGTTATATGTCTATTATCAGTCCATCCATCCATCCATCCCAATTATATCTCTATTATCCATCCAAATTATATCTCTATTATCTATCTATCTATCCATCCATCCATCCCAATTATATCAATCTTATCCATCCATCCATCAAAGTTATATCTCTATTATCAGGCCATCCATCCATCCATCCATCCAAATTATATCTCTATTATCCATCCAAATTATATCTCTATTATCTATCTATCCATCCATCCATCCCAATTATATCAAACTTATCCATCCATCCATCAAAGTTATATCTCTATTATCAGTCCATCCATCCATCCATCCATCCATCCATCCATCCATCCATCCCAATTATATCTCTATTATCCATCCCAATTATATCTCTATTATCCATCCATCCATCCATCCATCCAAATTATATTTCTATTACGCACTACTGACCACTTCTTTAAGTTTTATATACACACAGATACACATACACTTTCTCTCTCTCTCTCTCTCTCTCTCTCTCTCTCTCTCTCTCTCTCACACACCCACCCACACACCCACACACCCACACACACACAGAGAGAGAGAGAGAGGGGAAAGAGAGAGAAAGAGAGAGAGAAAGAATATATTACATTGGCCTTGTTTGCAGCTGCCTCACACCACTGGCTCCCAATTCCTGGGATTCAACATCCTTTTTGCCAGAATTCCTGCTAAGCCCGACATCTCCCGTTTTTATTCCCGAATCTTTATTTCTCTTTATTTCTGTTCATGTAATTTTCTTTCTCCCATCCACTGAGATCCTCCTGAAAGCTTTTTTTCTGCAAACATGAGCCATGTTCCCCCTCTTTTGTGTTTTCCGACAATCTCACAAGCGTTCTGTCCACCAACAACATCGACGAAGACGTTGATGGGGATGGGGATGGGAGTAAAAATAGATGGCTCTTTGCATTTTTTGCATTGAATTTCCTGGAAGACTTAATTCTCCATTCTTGCAAGGCATGGTTTTTAAACTATTTCTCTTTGTTTCACTTTCTTCTTCTATTCCAGATGTTAGAGATCAGAATGTGAACAGAGCGTTAGAGAAGGGGGAAAAACAGAGCAGCAATTTTGAATTCTTCTTCTTCTTCTTCTTCTTCTTCTTCTTCTTCTTCTTCTTCTTCTTCTTCTTCTTCTTCTTCTTCTTCTTCTTCTCCTCCTCTCCTCCTCCTCCTCCTCCTCCTCCTCCTCTTCTTCTTGTTCTTCTGCTCCTTCTCCTTCTCCTCAGTTCTCCTCCTCCTCCTCCTCCTTCTCCTCAATTTTTCTTCTTCTTCTCCTTCTCCTCCTCCTCCTTCTCCTCAATTCTACTTCTTCTTCTTCTTCTTCTTCTTCTTCTTCTTCTTCTTCTTCTTCTTCTTCTTCTTCTTCTTCTTCTTCTTCTTCTTCTCCTTCTCCTTCTCCTTCTCCTTCTCCTTCTCCTTCTCCTCTCCTCCTCCTCAATTCTTCTTGTTCTTCTTCTCCTTCTCCTCAATTCTTCTCCTTCTCCTCAATCTTCTTCTCCTCCTCCTCCTCCTCCTCCTTCTCCTCAATTCTTCTTCTTCTTCTCTTCAATTCTTCTTCTCCTTCTCCTCCTCAATTCTTCTTCTTCTTCTTCTTCTTCTTCTTCTTCTTCTTCTTCTTCTTCTTCTTCTTCTTCTTCTCCTCCTCCTCCTCCTCTCCTCCTCCTCCTCCTCTTCTTCTTGTTCTTCTTCTCTCCTTCTCCTTCTCCTCCTCCTCTCCTCCTCCTTCTCCTCAATTCTTCTTCTTCTCCTTCTCCTCCTCCTTCTCCTCAATTCTACTACTACTTCTTCTTCTTCTTCTTCTTCTTCTTCTTCTTCTTCTTCTTCTTCTTCTTCTTCTTCTTCTTCTTCTTTCTCCTTCTCCTTCTCCTTCCTCCTCCTCCTCAATTCTTCTTGTTCTTCTTCTCCTTCTCCTCAATTCTTCTCCTTCTCCTCTACTTCTTCTCCTCCTCCTCCTCCTCCTCCTTCTCCTCAATACTTCTTCTCCTTCTCCTCCTCAATTCTTCTTCTTCTTCTTCTTCTTCTTCTTCTTCTTCTTCTTCTTCTTCTTCTTCTTCTTCTTCTTCTTCTTCTTCTTCCCCTCCTCCTCCTCCTCCTCCTCCTCCTCCTCCTCCTCCTCCTCCTCCTCCTCCTCCTCCATCACAGGTCCTCCTCCATCTCTCGGCTTCCCTCCCGATCATTTTAAATGATATTTCCCGTCAGAATTAGGTTTCGCCCCCACAAGTTCCCATTTGTGCTCGCCAAACAGCTGGATTTCATTCAGCCTCCAAAAACATTAAGAGTCACGTTTTCAATTTCTTTTCCATTTTTTTTTTTAAATGGTGAGTGGGTGAAAATAGAGAATTTAGCACAGTCATCTCCCAAATGAACCGCATTGTCAGCTAGAGAAGTTCCCCTTTTGGGTTTTCTCAGCCTCCAGTGACCCAGGCATCATGTGGGAACAGCTGTGTCCTACCTTAAAAGGTCGTTGTTAGCCTACCTTAAAGGGAATGTGAAATTTTTACACATTTCCAAACTTTTCCTCCCTCCTTCGTGGCAAGCTGCCTTCCAATATTTTCTTTTGGAAGAAAAGAAATTGTACACCTTTCCCAAATGGTCTTTTAAAATCTTAATTTCCGGGAACCAAAAAAAAAAAAAAAGTTAAGATATTCAATTGAGAGAAATTGAGTAGCGCTAATAGAAGAAGATTTAATTCAGCGCCCATCACCTTCAAAAATTCAACTAAACACATTTGAGTTTAATTGACCCTTTGCAAAATTGTTCCCTTTTCCAATTTCGACTCCTGACAAATTTTATCCATGTTTTAATCATCGTCTTTTAAAACTGGTAATCTTAGCGCTGTAAAATCTCACTTCATGGAGTGTGTTTTAAATTCTTTGACCAATCCAGTTTTATTGGACCCCAAACCACTTACTTTAAAAAAAAAAAAAATTTACAAAGAAGGATGGTTTGAAAATATTTTTCACCCGTCCGTAAAATAAATATTTCTAAAATTGAGAGGAATACTTCAAATATGCAGGCCCTCTTTTCACCAACGAGAAACCAGCTTGACTGCTTAAAACAATCCTTTTTTAAAAAAAATTTATATCGCGTAAAACCAGCATGTAGAAATCACTTGGTATCACACGGGAACACATCCCTTAATAGATCGCGATATTTCTTTCTGGATATAAAGGAATAATTAACGAGGCTTAGAGATAATCAAATGAAGGATGATTGGATCAAGATGGAATTTGGCTTGTATTTAAAGATAGATTGCCTTTAATCATGGAGGATCATCTAATAATCAGGCATTAATAAATCATCATATAAAGATAAGTATGATGATTTATTAATGCCTGATTATTAGATGTATTACGAAGTCAGTTATCCACATAGGGAATTGACTTCGTAATACATACAATGTACAGTACTACAAATTTTAGAATTCATTTTTAATTAGTCAGACCGTATATAATTAACACTGGATTTTATTACAGATTTTAGTTGTTATTTATTATTTTATACTAGAAGTTTTAAGTGTATATACACCGAGTGCTTTTATTTGTTCTGGTCTAAGACTGTATAATAATAAATTGAAAACATTTTTAATCCGTTTTAATCTGGGGAAATTTGAAAGCTTGGCTGTCTTGACTAGAAACGAGGGTTAAACATGGTTATAAAATAAACCGCAGTGACATGAATACAATTCGTGTTTTAGCAATTCCTAACAAAGCAGGAATAATTTGGCACCAATAATCCAGAAAGGCCAAAGACAAGAGCGCTTCAGAGCACGTGCAGAGTTCCTTAGGCTCCCTAGCTGAAAAAAACCACCTTTTTTTTGAGAAATTTAAACCAGAGAATTTGATTTTGGATTGATTTCATTGAGAAAGGAAGAGAAACTGAACTCATGGGGCAAGTTAGTTGTGTTGCGCTTTTAGCAAACCAAATTGTGATGCTTCATTTGTCGCTCCTTCTTATAGCTGCCCACCGCTTGGGTGTCCAAAAAGGAAGATCCAAGGGGGAGGCATTTATTCGGAAAATGAGATTTGGGGCCCCACAGAAGCTTTGCGCCTTGTCACTCGACGCGAACTTAAACAAACATAGCATGGTAGAACCAACTGGTGGAACGTAATATTTTAGGCTTATTTGTGAGTGAGTGTGTGTACACTTTCGCTGGTATTAGCTATGAACATTCCTTGGTTTTTGGATCGCGGAATAATTATAAAAGAAACTGGAACAGATTTTTCTACGCAGAGCAGAGCTGGGGAGCTGGAGACCATGATTTCAACTGGTGTCCATCCAGAACTTCCTCCTCAAGAGGTGAAACTCAAGTGCCTTCAGACGTTGTGGGGGCTTCATCGCAGGAGGCTTTTAAGAAGAGACTGGGCAGTCACCTGTCTGAAATGGTATAGGATCTCCTGCTCGAGCAACGAGCTGGACTAGAAGACCTCCAAGGTTCCTTCCAGCGCTGTTATTTATTTATTTATTATTTATTAGTTCGATTTATATGCCACCTTCTCGGAGACTCAGGGCGTTACAATGCGTTAAGCAGCCTTCATACTTAGTATATACCTGCTTAAGGGCTTTCAAAGCTGTTCTGTACAAAGTCAACTTATTGACAATCCGGTCCTCATTTTACCTACCTCGGAAGGATGGACTGTCAACTTCCTGTGAGATTTGAACTTGCAGTAATTGCAGGCAGCCAGCTAAGTGCTACTTTAACAGCAGTTTTAGTCCGCTGCGCCACCAAGGTTATCGATTACTTCAACTGGGGTTTCTCAACCATCAATTCAATTGGGGTTCCTCAACCTTCTCAACTTTAAACCGAGTGGACTTCAACTCCCGGAACCCCCCAGCCAGCGTTAGTAAGACCACACCTGGAATCCTGCATCCATTCACACATTACAAAAAACGATGCTGGGACTTTGGAAAAAGTGCAGAGAAGAGCAACTAAGAGGATTAAAGAGACTAAAGGATGGTTGCAGGACTTGGGTATGGCCAAGAAGAAAAGAAGGACTACTGGGGGACATGATAGCAATATTCCAATATTTGAAGGGCTGCCACCAAGAAGAGGGGCTCAATTTATTTTCCAAAGCATCAGAAGGCAAGACAAGAAACGATGGATGGAAACTAACCAAGGAGAGAGGCAACCTGGAATTAAGGAGAAACTTCCTAACAGTGAGAAGAATTAACCAGTGGAACAGAAGTTGTGGATGCTCCATCAATGGAAGTTTTTAAGAAGAGACTGGACAGCCATTTGTCTGAAATGGCATAGGTTTCAAGGTCATCTAGTCCAACTAGATGACCTTGAAGGTCCCTTCCATCTCTCTCCTGATTGATTGAAGTTCACCTGGCTCGAGGTTGCCAATGTTGAGTAACTAATCTCAACTCAAAGCAAGGTTGTACTTGTGAACCAAATTCTGTCTTGGTGTCTTCTACCATCCACCTACTCTATCTCAACACTTCCAAGCAGGGGAAGATATTTTGAGATTCTTCTCTGGAGCCAAGCCTGCTGAAGCTGAGAAGACAGGAAACGACTTGAAGGAACTTAAGATGGACTAGGACTTCCCTCAGATCTCATCTCTGGATCGGAGAGAAACCGAAAAAGAGACTTTTAACTCCTTGTAGCACAGTTCACCCTTCTTGAAGACAAACCCCAGAATTGGTGAAGAAGCCCAGATCGACCTCCTTCCCCAAAGAGATTACAAGCCCATCACCCCCATCCAGATGTCTCCTTCCATCTCCTCACCTTTGACAGAGTCAAGATTGCCAGGTCTTCCCCTAAACATCCCCTAAACACACTTTAAAAAAAGATGTGGAGACTCTAGAAAGAGTGCAGAGAAGAGCAACAAAGATGATTAAGGGACTGGAGGCTAAAACATACGATCAACGGTTGCAGGAACTGAGCATGGCTAGTCTAGTGAAGAGAAGGACCAGGGGAGACATGAGAGCAATATTCCAATTTTTGAGGGCTGCCACAGAGAGGAGGAGGGGGGTCAAACTATTTTCCAAAGCACCCGAAGGCCAGAAGGAATAATGGATGGAAACTGAACAAGGAGAGATTCAACCTGGAAATAAGGAGGAATTTTCTGACCGTGAGAACAATCAACCCATGGGACAGAAGTTGCCTTCAAAAGTTGTGGGAGCTTCATCACTGGAAGCTTTCAAGAAGAGACTGGACTGGCATCGGTCAGAAATGGTGTAGGGTCTCCTGCTTGGGTAGGGGTTGGACTAGATGACCTACTACAAAGGTCACTTCCAACTCTGTTCATCGGTATCTGTAACTGCTTCTGGATCCATTTTAGCAGATCCTACAACCCTTCTTGATGGTCTCATCGATTGACCTCAATCCCGAGATTCCTCTCCCGAATTTGGAGAGGAGGACGGGCTCTCCTTGGACCACTCACCCACCCACCCCCAAAAATACCCCCCAATTGTAGCATCTCCCTTTTCCGACGGGAGACTCGAGCGAGAACGGTACTTACTGGTCGTCATGGCTGCAGGGCCAGAGATGAGAAGCAGCACGGCGAAGTACCACAAATCCATCTCCCCGTGATTTGAACGGTCAGTGCGTGTCCCTTCTCCACTTGGACCCCCCTTAGCCCGTGTCCAGGGGCAAAGGGCTGGAGAAACTGGATCTCGCCTGGCTTGGTCGTTGTGCAACGGGACGAGGGACGCACAGACGGTTCAGTTCGGCTGTTCTCCACTCCAGTCTCGGTCCCTTTTCAGGAAAGGCTCAAGGGTGATGGAGCCCAGCGAGCGAGGACACGAAGCAACCAGACCGAAGTTCAACAGGTTTTGGACAAAGGCAGGCAGAGAACCTCCTTCTCGTCCTCCGAGCTCTCAAATGTCGAAATGCTCAAGCTGGGACTTCGCTCGGCTCTAATGATATGCCGGGGCAGGAAATCAGCTCCCTCTGCCAAGATTTTTGCTGCCAAAGCAAAAGAAAGGAAATGCAATTTTTTTCCCCTCCTCTTTTCTTTAGCTCTCTCTCTCTCTTTTTTTTTTTAAAGAGGAATTTTTTTAAAAAAAAAGCAGCTTCAAAGGATGCCAAAAAGAAAAAGAAAAAAAAAATTCCTGCTTGACAGTGAAAAATCTCCGACGGAGAATTAAAGACGTGATTTTCGACAGGGGAACGACTCAACTTCTCCTTTCGGAGGTCACGGGGGAAGTTTTTAGGGACAAAGTTTATTCTGTTTTTGGGGGTGTTTTAAAACTCATTTTTTTAAGGGGGGTCTCTCCTGGGCAGGACAGTGTAGGATGAAAACTGAAACGGGGGGGGTCTGTTTTTTAGGCAAGAATTTATATATATTTGTTTTGCACCCTTAGGCGGCCTCTCTTTCCTCATTTCGTGCAATCTTTTTTTAATTTAGTTTAATGTAATTTTTTTGGCGGCTGAGATTAATGTGAAAGTTTACTAAAAATGATCTAGGAATTTTGCACGGGGGGGGAACGGACGAGAAGTCAAAGCTGAAGGGACGTAGCAGCAAACGCTTTCAGTCTTTACTCTTAAAGAGGATTCTTTCTCTGCCCCCCATTCTCACAAATTCGAATCTGAACTTCATGAGGTCTAGCCGCTTCATTTCGTGTTAGCCCCTATTTTACAGTGGGAAGGTTCTAGAGCTTTTTTTTTTTGGCTGGTGTTTTAGCTTACACCATTCATGCACTAGGGGAGCCCCCCTTTCAGCCCCCATTCTCACCATCTCCTGTCCTGAACTTCATGAGGTCTAGCTGCTTCATTTCGTGTCAGCCCCTATTTTATAGTGGGAAGGTTCTAGAGCTTTTTTTGGGGGGCTGGTGTTTTGGCTTACACTATTCATGCCCTAGGAGAGCCTCCTTTCAGCCCCATTCTCACCATCTCCTGTCCTGAACTTCATGAGATCTAGCCACTTCATTCTGTGTCAGCCACTATTTTATAGTATGTTCTACAATTTTTGGGGGGGTCTGTGTGTTATGGTATAGGATTAATTCACCCGCAGGCTCCTGTTTTATTTAAAAGCTGGACCAAGGAGTGGGTTGGAAAGATTAGAAATAAGAACGTCTCCAAATGCTGCTGATGGCTCTTTTAAAACGAACAGGATTTTAATTTTAATTTTATTTTAAAATGGATTTTAAAATAGGATTATGGCAATTAGGAGCTTTCGGACAAAACAGTCTCCTGGCAGAAGTAATATATCTGAGTTTTCTGGCCCTGTTCAAACAGGAAATGATCACCATCTGTAAGCCGTCCAACATTCCTTTGGCCACTGTTTGGAAAATTCCACCCGGTTGGACTAAATGACCTCTGGGTTCCCCCTCAACGATGCTAAGAATATGGAACTTCTTCCCGGTCTCTTCGTGTACAGGTAGCCCTCGACTTATGTGAGCTCAACATTTGCATTGCTAAGCGGGACAAGTCAGTTTTGCCCTGTTTTAGGACCTTTTAGCGTCGCTAAAACGAACCGTCGTAAGTCAAGGACTACCTCTATTGACAGGACTTGGGGTGGGGGGAATTCCTTTTTCAGCGGAAGTCAAAAGGAAACGCTCTTTTTCCTTTGCTGCCATTAAAAATAGGAGAATTACGTTCCATTTGCCGTCGCTTTGGGAGCAAAAAACTGGAAAACAGGCGGCCCAAAAAACATTCCTTTGCATTTTTTCCGTCCCTTCCTGGAGCTCGGCAAACAATCCTCAAAAATCCAAATCCTCTCCCATGTACGGACCGCTTAACCCTCCTTGCCCTACACCCCCCCCTGCAAGAATTTCCTGGATACCTCCTTGTTGTTGTTTTTCCAGAAAAACAACACACAGAGAAAAAAAAATTCCTCCCGGTATTTGGAGTTCTTGGATTTCTTTGACGCGATGGGGTTTGCAAAACTCCAATTTCCTCCCGCTTTTCCTCCGCGGCCAGCGGAGAGGAAAAGAAGCAGGGAGGGTGGAAGGAAGGAGATGGCGCTGAAGGATGCCAGGAGGGCAGGCTGGGAGAAAGATAGACTGCTTTGGCACCAGGGGCTCGAAGGATTCAGAGCGAGTCCCGAGTGGGGTCACTTTTGACAGGGTCCCCTCTATTGCAACTTTTTTCGACCTTAGCAAGTTTAATCTCTCTCCCTGTCTCATATATTGATAATCTATCATCTATATATCTATATATGGTATCTTCTCTGTCTGTCTGTGTTATACCATCTGTCTATCTCTATTTCCTCTACATATGTCTCTCTAATTTATTATCTATCCATCAACTATATCATCTATCATCTATAACTATCTCTGTCCTCTATCATCTGTCAGTCTTTCTGTCTGGCTATCATCTATCTATCTATCTATCTATCTATCTATCTATCTATCTATCTATCTATCTATCCTTTATCTATCTACCTACCTACCTGCATCTCTCTCTCTCTTTCTTTCATAGATAGATAGATAGATAGATAGATAGATAGATAGATAGATAGATATGGATGGATAGAAAAATAGATAGATAGATAGATAGATAGATAGATAGATAGATAGATAGATGGATGGATGGATGGATGGATGGATGGATGGATGGATGGATGGATGGATAGATAGTTGTGGATATATTTAAGAGGTAGGTAAGTAGGTAGAAAGATAGATAGTTGTGGATGTATTTAAGAGATAGATAGATAGATATGGATGGATAGAAAAATAGATAGATAGATAGATAGATAGATAGATAGATAGATAGATAGATAGATAGATAGAGATGGATAGATAGAAAAATACATAGATGATAGAGATGTATTTAAGAGATAGATAGATAGATAGATAGATAGATAGATAGATAGATAGATAGATAGGGATGGATGGATGGATAGAAAAATAGATATAGATAGATAGATAGATAGATAGATAGATAGATAGATAGATAGGGATGGATGGATAGAAAAATACATAGATAGATCATAGAGATGTATTTAAGAGATAGATAGATAGATAGATAGATAGATAGATAGATAGATAGATAGATAGATAGATAGATGATAGATAGATGAGATGGATGGATGGATGGATGGATGGATAGATAGTTGTGGATATATTTAAGAGGTAGGTAGGTAGGTAGGTAGGTAGAAAGATAGATAGATAGATAGATAGATAGATAGATAGATAGATAGATAGATAGATAGATAGTTGTGGATGTATTTAATAGATAGATCGAAAGATCGATCGATCGATAGATAGATAGGGATGGATAGATAAGATAGAAAAACAGAGAGAGAGAGATGTGGATGTATTTAAGAGGTAGGTAGGTAGGTAGGTAGAGAGAGAGAGAGAGATAATCTATCTGAGTAGAATAGAGCTGGAAGGGACCTTGGAGGTCTTCTAGTCCAGCCCCCTCCTCAAGCAGGAGAACCTATATCATTTCAGACAAGTGACTGTCCAGCCTCTTCTTAAAAAAGCCTCCAGTGATGAAGCACCCACAACTTCTGGTGGCAAGCTGTTCCACTGGTTAATTGCCCTCACTGTTAGGAGGTTTCTCCTTAATTCCAGGTTGCTTCTCTCTTTAATTAGTTTTCCCTCCCTCCCTCCCTCCCTCTATCTATCTATCCCCATTTTATGACCTTTCTTGCCACAGTTGTTAAGTGAGTCACTGCAGTTGTTCAATGAGTAACAAGTTGTTCAATGAATCCGGCTTTCCTCTTGATTCTGCTCGAAAGGGGGAATCACACACGATCCCGGGACACTGCAACCGTCATAAGTACGAGTCAGTTGCCAAGCCCCTGAATTTAGATCCTGCTATTACGGTCGTAAAGCGTGGGGGGGGGGAAAAAACCAATCGCAAGTCCCTTTTTTTTCCAGCACCATTGTGACTTCGAACAGTCGCTAAACGACCGTTGTAAGTCGGGGACCACCTGTAATGGATGAGAAAGTTGCCATTCGGCGCCGGGAACCGGGCGGAAAACTTTGAAGGCTGTAGAAAGAATCGGAGCCGCAGCTCTCCAATTTGGGCTGTCTCTTAAACGGCCAATTGCTTCTCCTTCTCCTGACCCCAAGAGATGCTTCGGTCCAGACAGAGAGGCATCCTTGTGGAATGGGGCAGGGCGGGGCAGGGGAGGGGGGGCAAAGGATGCACGCGTGTGAGGAAATGGGGGGGTGTCACATCCTCCTGCCCCGACATTCCAGCCACGTGCCGTGTCTCAGATGTCGGCGGGGAGGAATCTCTCGGTCCCAGCCAGGCTCCTCCGTTCCTGTTTATCGCTGCGGCTCCTTGGCGATTATTTGATGATTCGGGACATCTGAGACTGTTTTGTCCACTTGATTTCCTTCCCCCCCCTTGCCCCCCCGGTCGCCCTGTCGTCTCCCCGAGGCCAGCTTGTGGCTGATCTCTTCGAGGGGGAGGGGGGGGCTTCGGTGGGGGAAGGGTAGACCGGATAGCCTGGTTCTCTGGTACGTGGGCAGCCCTCCCACCCCCTTCCTTGCACCTTACACGCAGGGACCTCGCCATGCCCTAGACGTCTGAGTCAGCTAACAACATTGGTCGTAAGTCGAGAACTAAATGTATCCCGGCCTTGGGTAGTGCCAGCAATGTTCTAATGGTGTTTTCTCTCTCTCATCTCTATTCTGTCTGTCTGTCTGTCTATCCATCTATGATTTCTCTGTTATCTATCCATCCATCCATCCATCCATCCATCCATCCATCCATATCTATATCTCTATATCTCTTTCAATTCTATCTCTCCTCTCTCATCTCTCTCATCTCTTTCTCTCTCTCATCTATCTATCTATCTATCTATCTATCTATCTATCTATCTATCTATCTATCTATTTATCATCTATCATCTATCTAGTAAACAGTAACAGAGTTGGAAGGGACCTTGGAGGTCATCTAGTCCCAACCCCCTGTGCACATAGGAGACCTGTACTAGGGATTTGAACCGCCGA